ATACTATTTTACAGCTTCAATCTGAGAAGTCCATCTTGCAGGAACGTATTCGGAAATTGAAGGATGACCTGAGCGCAGTGACACTCCAACTGTTTGAAGTACAAAAGTATGTAAAGCCTCTTGGAGGTAAGCCTGGGGCCAGGACTGAACCAAAGACACAAGATTCTTGGCTCTTGGATATTGGGGTTTCAGTTGATGCGAGGAGTGTACAGGAGTTCCACGAAGAGTGGAGCAGGTTTTGTTCCAGTGAGATTACCTTTGCCCTTTGCAAACAAGACCAAATGAATGCGAACAGGATCTTCAGCCATTGTGAGTGGGTGGTGCACAAACTTGGCCGCCCCCACCCTGTTGTTTACAAGGTAGGAATTACAGAGAATGTCATTGACCGGTGGTGCAACAAGCCTTATGCATACACAAATGATCAGTTTGAGAAATGGGATGGAATGGTTGTGCTGTTTGTAGGGCCTAACAGTTTGACTTGCGCTTTGGTTGAAGCCTTCCTAATCCATCGCTTCATAGGTCGACCTGGGTGTCGCAACTGCTTGCTTGGAGGGGAAACAGCCAAGCCAGGTTGCAAAATCTATTTCACCTATTGTGTGTGGAGAAGCCTGGCCCCTCCGCAGAAATAATCCTTGTGATGCATGGTGCTTTAAAGAATCACTTACACTTCACTAATGTGTTTTGCGGCTGGAGGTTGGGGCTTGGCCTTTCTTGATATTGCGATCACTGTAGCCAGGAATGCCAGCTACAAAAATAGAGTTGCTTTCTACCAGCAGGATGTTGGTTCTTGAAACCATGGAGGTCAAGCGTTTCCGCATTTGAAAGCCATTGTCAAGGAATTCCCGAAGAGTCTATTTCAAAGGGCCACCAATAGAAGGTAATTATGGAAGATTCTTCAGGAATTGCTTGAACATGTCTGTCAAATTTGGAAAGCATTGACCTTGTTTTGCTTCCGTCTTTCTGTGTCTGCCCCACCAAAAAGACTCAAAATCTGAATGTTGGAGTATGTCGGAAAACCAAATTGACAAAAACTATGGAAAACTAGAAAATCTGCGCGTTGGACTATGTCCGAAAACCAAATTGATAAAAACCGCAGAAAACTAAAAAAAATCTGTACATCAGAGACCAAATTGACCAAAACTGCTCAAAAACAGAAAAATCTGCGCGTCGGATTTGATCGGAAAACCAGGTCTTGGCGTCGGAAAACCAGGTCTTGGCGTCGGATCGCGTCGGATTTCGAAACTTGACTTTTTGTGCATTTTTTGTCAATTTCCAACAATTTTGTGTATTGGTTTTTCATTTTCAACATCTCCTCGCGTTTCATGGTTCTTTGCTACACACGTTTGTGGTTTTACTCCTTTTTTTTGGTTCCCTTTGTTTTGGTTTCCTTAGTTTCCTATGTTTTTGTGGTTTTTGAAATTTTCTGGTTCCCAAAACCAGTTATTTTTGGTTTTGGGTCCGAGCATGGGCTGTTGCGCATGCTCCTTTCTGTCCAGGGTTTACCTTCAACCGACAGCCTTCATGTCTGACTGATGCTGTTTGTCAAACGCTTGGTGGTTGGGTCTGCATATCTTCTGTGTTAAACCCTACTGGAGGTGCTGGAAAGCAGAATGCTCTATCTTGTCTGGCTGCCTCACGGAAACGGGCAGGCGCTGCATCGGATTGCGTTGGAGAAGTTTTGTTCTGTTGTGACCAGTTGTGAGAGAATTTATCTCTCAAGAGGTTTGCATGTTTTCAATTGCTCTCAAGAGGGTGTGCATTATTACTTGAATGGTGCGGTGGTTCAAAGGAGGTGAAGAGTTTCCTTGAACGTGCGTTGTCCCATGGACTTGCGGTCTGTGAGCAGACTGACCTCGTGTGGAACGTTCCTTGAGGGACAAGAGTTCATGAACAGTCAAGGTCAGCCTGCTAGAGGCCCACCACCACCAAAGGTGCCTTGGGTGTGAGTTTGTAACACCTTTCAAAGCATGTTTTAGTGCGTTGAGTTGCTATTTTTGTTACAGTTCAACTTCGTTGTTGCACTTTCAAGGTAAGTTATAGTGATGTTTTTTGAAATATTCTGATATTTCAATTGTGTTCTCTCAATCCGTGTATGGATAAATATAGTATTCACTCAAGATGTGCAATGATTAATTTCCACAACAGTTCAATATAGATGTGCATCTCAGGTGAAGGAGGAGGTTGTGGATCAGGTATACACCCAAGCTCCCAATCCAGACCCAAAGCCAGTTTTTCAACCAGGCTGTGCTTTTTCAATGGATCCCCACATTGAGGAAACCATGGCCAAAATAAATGGGATGCCAAACCAGGGGCCGGGGGTGGCACCTACAGGACTGAAGAAACTACCTAGTGAGAAAGCCCTCAAAGTGTATGAGCCAGCTTTGCGCCAACAGTCGCAAGCCCAACAACGTTTGACACATGATGAGGCAGCAATCACTCTCCAGCGGGCACAGCTGCAGCTTAACTTGCAGCAGGAAAGAGATACTGCGCAGCGAGCACAGCAAACTGCTGAGGCACTGAACCTCCAATACGAAGAGATGAAAGCACAACAGCATCGACAACAACAGGCTGAGCAACAACGGCTGCAGGAACTCCAGCGCCACCAGCAAATGCAGCGCAGGCAGCAAGTGCTCGAGGACAAAATGGGGATGAAAAGTCAACAGCTATCGCCGCAGCTCCAAGCAGAGATCCATGGCAAGATGTGGCAAACCAAAAAGCAGGAGCAACATGCTCAGCAGCTAGCCCGTTTACAGCAAAAGGACATGGAGCATGAAGAGTTTCGCAAGCAATTCCATCAGCAGCAGCAGCTGTTGAAGCAACAAGCTCAGCAGCGAACAGAACTGCAGCAGCAGGAGATGATGCAACAGCAAGAGCAACAAAGGCAGCAGGAGCAGTTCCTGGAACAACAAGCTCAGCAGCAAGCACAGCAGCGAGCAGCAGAACTGCAGCAGCAGGAGATGATGCAACAGCAAGAACAACAAAGGCAGCGCAAGCAGTTATTGGAGCAGCAAGCTCAGCAGCAAGCACATCAGCAGCAACAGGAAAAGATGCAACAAGAGCAGCAGCTAATGAAGCAACAAGTGCAGCAGCGAGCAGAACTGCAGCAGCAGGAAATGATGCAGCAGCAGGACCAAGACTGGCAGGGAATACTTCGGAAGCAAGATGAGTCAATGCAGCAACAGTACCAGTGTATGATGCAAGCCGCTCAGCAGCGAGTGCATATGATGCAGCAGGAGAAACAACAAAAGCAGCGTCAGCATCTCTTGGAGCAACAGGCCCAGCAGCGAGCAGAACTGCAGCAGCAGGAGATGATGCAACAGCAAGAACAACAAAGGCAGCACAAGCAGTTCTTGGAGCAACAAGCTCAGCAACAGGAAAAGATGCAACAAGAGCAGCAGCTAATGAAGCAACAAGCTCAGCAGAGAGCAGAACTGCAGCAGCAGGAGATGATGCAACAGCAAGAACAACAAAGGCAGCACAAGCAGTTCTTGGAGCAACAAGCTCAGCAGCAAGCACGTGCACGTCAGCAGCAACAGGAAACGATGCAACATGAGCAGCAGCTAATGAAGCAACAAGCTCAGCAGCGAGAACTGCAGCAGCAGGAAACGATGCAGCAACTGCAAGAACAACAAAGGCAGCGCAAGCAATTCTTGGAGCAACAAGCCCAACAGCGGGCAGAGCTGCAGCGGCAGATGATGATGATGCAGCAGCAGGAACAGTACAAGCAGCAGAAGCAACAGCTCTCAGAACAATCAGAACAACAACGATACTTGCAGCACATGGTCCATGAGGCGCAGCCAAGCACGTGCTTGCGGACACAACTGACTGAAACGCCTTGCAAGAGACATCCTATGGAAGCAACACCGATGGCAGAGCCTGCAATACTTCAGGAGCAAATGCGCCAGGAGCTTCAGCAGCAAAGGCAAAACATGGAAGACATAAATACCAGTGAGCAGCACCAAGCCAAAGTTCTTGCTGAGATGCGATCCCAGCATGAGATGCAGGAGCAAATGGTGCAGCAACAGCAGTCTGACATGGAGGGGAGGGCACATGATCCCTTCCATGCTTTGAAGCAAAAGCAACAGCAGTTGGACGCAGCAAAGAAGGAAATTGAACTCCAACGACAACTGCTTGAGGTGGAGGAGAAGCGCTTGCGAGAAGAGTTTGCAAAACAAGCTGCAGCAAAGCAAGCTGTCACAAGGCTCGAGGCTGAGGCTTCGGTGTCAAACAATGATGGTGTACCCAAAAGGCCCAGGTTGCAACCAGTTTTGACCTCCCAAAGCCCCTCCCAGCCTTTGGTGCCATTTGTCACCCAGGTCTACTTGGCAGCCAATGGCCTGCCTGTTCCACAGCAAGGAGCTCCGCAGCCAGCAAGCCTAGCACAGCATGAGGAGCAGCCAGAGCGTGATTCACCCATTTCTGAGCCATCCCCTAGCCAGCCACCAGGCACAGTCTTGCCTCCTTCCACGATCTTGCCCCTCCCCCCCCCGCCCTTTACTCCTGGACCTGTTACAAATTCAGGTTGGCGACAGCCGGCTGTTCCAGCAGGGATGGTTGTTCGCGCAGGAGAGTCATCGCCTACACCAGCTTCGGAAGCCCCGCCTATTACCACAACGCCCCTGGACTATGGAGCTGAAAAGCGACCTGGTAGAATACAATGTGTTTGGTTTTGTGATAATTTTATGCAAAGGATTTGCTGTCAAGAGTCCAAAAAGAATCCAATTACCTTCTCAACCTGTTTGTATGTATATATGCGTGCGCTTCCGCAAAAAACTGTGCGCAACTTGCTACTTGCTACAAAATGCACGCGCTCTCATTCTGTGCGTGCGTGTGTGTCTCTGTGCGTGTGTGTGTGTGTGTGTTGCAGGTGTCTCCTTTCCCCTGCTACCCTTACACTCACACAGTGCACACATACATGCTGTATAATATGCGTTTCTGTGTATGTGTTCTCACTGACTCATTTGCTTGGTGAGTGTTCCTGCACGGTTGAAGAAAAAAAGGCAGCCGCAGAATGCGAAGGAGGTTGCGCTGAACAGCATCAATTGTCAAGAGGCCTGGACCTTTCTCTATCGCCTATGTAGAGATGGGGAGAAAAAGAAGGTGGACCCTGAGATCCTGGCATCATGGAGAGCTGGTGGCCCCGCCCGCTCAAAGCTCCTTTCCGACTTTGTGCGCAAGGTCTACAACAAGGAAGTGGACCACACGACCAACAGAGCTCGGCTGGAGTGCTTTGTAAAGCTGAGGCAAGCGTCGCGTAACTGGAAGACTACCCTAGTTGGGTTTGAGTGGCTGACTGTGCAGGAGATGAAAGATAAAAACTGGAGTGAGACCCTCAATTTCAATTCGCAAAGCTTGTTGTTGTACTTGTTTGTAAGTTATTTTCCTTTTTGTGTCTTATTACTTATTACTGTGAGTGTGTGTGCGCACATCAGTTAAGGACAAAGATTCAGGGCGCAATTCAACATTGTACCAAGAAAAAGCTCACAAAGCAGTGTCTCTATGAGAAGGTCACCAAGTATTTGGTGTTGACAAGCGACAAAGTGGAGCAACTAGAATCTATATAGAACATGAATTTGCTTCTATATTTTTCTGTCTGAATTTGCTGAGTGCTAAAGACATCTTTCTGGAGGTGCCCTTTTATGCGTTTGCTTTTGGGTAAAAGGGTTCAACAATTGAAAATTGGTCCTAAGAGAAGCATCTGAACTGAGGCAAGGCTCTGAGAAAATGAAGGAGTTGGAGGAGCTGATGAACGGAAGTGGCTTCTTCAATGAAAACTTCAGCTTTGGATTGGGAGATGTCATGGAGCTGAGCGATGATGAGGGGGTGGATGTTCCTGGTCCTGAGCCAAAGCCAAAACCAAAGCCGGGCGTCCTAGTTGCTAAATACAAGAAGGCCTTGTTGAACCGCAGGGCAGTTTTCAAGGAGACCTCAGAGAAGTGGCACAAGGAAACACCTGGCTCTGGAAAGCTATTTGAACAAATTCATCAATTTTTGAACTTTTGTTCATTAGTGATTCCAAAAGTAGACATTCTCTTTTGGCGACCGCCTGCTATCATTGCTTGAAACTTAGGGATGACTTCCCAGCCCTGGAGAAGCTGGATGGTGACTGTGTCTGCTCATAACGCTGAGACTATGCTGTTTGTTTTAATCTATGTCTCCCCACAGTGTGTGTGTGTGTTGTGTGTCTATGCGTACACATGCCTCTGACGCAATTGCATGCCATCACACCAAGATACAATATGAGGTGGGGTGGGTGTTGGTTGCTGGTCTGACCCGTGCAAGGTGAGTTGGGTGACCTCTACAAGGACATTTGTTCCATTGAGTCGAAGCAGCAGCGGGTGAATCCTGAGTCCAAAGCGCCTTACAAATCGGCGGCGGCATCAATTCAGGATGCCTTGTGCCGTTTCAACAATGGTTTGCAGGCTGTCAAGATCTATTTTCAAAAATCTGCAGCCAAAAGCCGAGCAAAAAAGAAGGCCAAGGCAAAGGAAGAGGATGAGTGAAGAAACTATTGTTGCACCTAACTGTCTATCTGTGTTCTTTGTCTAAATGTGTCATATGGACAACAACAATGAAACTGTTAACTTGCGTTGGAGCTGACTCTTCCTGGAGAGCTTTGCGTGCTCGGAGGGTTTGGTAAGTGCAGTTGAAACACTGTGGCTTACTTATAGGGGTGCCTGCCTTGAAAGAAAGCCATCAAAACGGCTTCTTGAGGTACTAGGGGAATTTTTTGTTCCATGAGTTGAGCAGCTGAAAGCAAACTGCTTCAGAAAAATACTGGAGTCTTTGCGGTTTGCGCCACTTTGTGAGAATGCTGTTGTCTATACCTTTGCTTTGTTGTGCACGGGATCTGTTATGGTCTTTGATTGGAGTGTTCTGCATACGGAGGTGCAGATGCTGTTGAACAGGTCCTGCAGGACTATATAGCAGCTCGTCTTGCATGGCTGGTCAAAGCACAAAAGAATTAAGGAAGAATACTCTTTTCCAGAGCTGTGTGCGCGCAAACTAAACTGCAAGCCTTGTGTGGTGTTTCGATTTGGAATGGAAGACTAATGGTTCCACTTGTGCAAGCCATTGTGCTTCATTCCACGTAAGAAGGCGCCCAACAAATCGTACATTATCTTATTGATTCGACTTAGAATGAAACATAATGGCTTTCACTTGTGGAACCACTTGTCTTTCATTCCTTGCAAGGCAAAGGGTTTCTCGTGCAGCTATGTTTCATGTAGTGAGGTTTCATGGGCTGTGTCAACCCTAAAGTGGAATGAAACATAATCGCTTTCATTTGTGAAAGAGATTGTGTTTCATTCCTTCCCAGATTGCCACCACAATCAAGAGTTATACAAAAGAAAACACTAGGTGTGAGGATGACTCAAACCAGGGGGGGTGATCAAACCTTTTTTACGCGCTGTAGTGTATGACAAATTGGAACCGACTGAGGCGCACAATGCGGACCATGCTGCAAAGCGTGCTCGCTCACAGTGTGACACTATGCTTCCAGGAAGCCCAGGCTATGCTGACTTACAGCAATTAGCTATGGCACATGACTGCAACACGAACAAAGAGTCGCTCTTCATCCAGCAGGTATTGAACTTGGGGTATGCGTTGGATGTTCCTGTGAAAGAAATTTTCTTACAGTCTAAGTCCAAAAAGTACCACTGTCTTGAAATCCGAGCAGTTGCAAAGAAGATTCTTGGATATTTTCCTGAACAGTTGTTGGCTGGCTTTTCTATGTCAGAGTTTGCTCAATATGTTGGGACTTTGGAGCAGTTCTGGGATGCTTTCAGGAGATACAACCCTAGCCACCCTGTTTATGTTGATCATGCAGGCCATCTTGCCTCCTGTATTCCTGTGAAATTTCATAGCGATGAAGGAACTGGACTACGGCGGACTGGTGTATACCAGTTCTCTTGGGGACCAGTGTTACGCAGCGACCGGTCGAGTTGGAACCGCTACTACTTCTGGTCATGTATGAACCATGAGGATTACAAGAGAGCTCATGATGGATATCTAAAAGGAAATGCTGTGCTTGATGACCTTTGCGATCACATGGCCAAGGAGGCTGTGGAGTTGTACTGGCATGGAGTGGATGGTGGCCAACTTGGAAAGTTGTATTTGATTTTTGTTTCGCGTGAAGGTGACCTTCCTGCATTGGCAAGGGCGCATCACTGCAAGAGAAACTTCAGCTGCCCGCCGCACGAAATGTGTTTTTGGTGCCTTGCCAATGACACAGATGTGCCATTTACAGACTTTTCACGTGGTGCGGAGTGGCGGAGCACTGTGGATTCTTCGCGACCGTGGGTTTACCATGGGCCTTTTCACCAAGTTCCTGGCGCTGAACATGAAATGTTTTTGGCAAAAGACCTGTTCCACTTGTGCCACCTTGGTGCTGTGCGCAGTTTCTGTGTCAATTTGCTATGCTATTTGGTGTCTCAGAATGTCTTTGTGCCTTGGAACTGGAATTCTGAACTTTTTAATCTGCAAAATGGGAATTTGTAATAGTTATATATACTCCTCAACAAGTATGAGAAGTGAGTTGGTAAACCTGTTGTTTGACTTTGACTCATTTGCATTCAATGACGCCTGTGGCAACATTCCGACCAAATTACAAACAGCCTATGACCAGTTCCGAGCTTTTTGCAAGACGCTTAAAGAGACACCGATGGTGAAACATTTCACTAAAGACAATTTATCTTGGTCAGGCAGCAAGTTTCCTGAAGCCAGTTTCAAAGGATCGGACGTTCGCCTATTGCTCCGTTTCCTCATTGACTTTTTGGAGAGACAAAGCACAACTTTGGATGAAGTTTCAACTGCTGGGTACATTGCTGCCAAGTCGATGCAAGACTTTTTGAGTCTTGTATTTTCCAACAAACGTTGGTTTCTTGCCAGAGGCGAAGCGTGGACCTGCTGGACTTTTCTCAACCTGTGGTTGGAGAAAGTATACTTTTGCGCAAAGAAATGCTACGAAAAAATTGTGCTTGTTCAATTTGACGCCCAAGATGCATTACTTGGCTCATGTCGCTTTAGACCTGGAGAAGCAACTTCAAACTGCAGGGCCTGACGGCCTGTTTTTGAACCCAGGTTTGTTTGCAACACAGGCAGCAGAAGACTGGATTGGCAAGAGTTGCAATATAGCAAAAAACTGTTCACCCAAAAACGGTGGCAAAAAGATCAGCCCAAAAGTGGCTTATCGCAGTGAAGATTCACTGGGAGAAGGCAAAGAAGGAAAAAGGAGATACAACAACTGTAATGTGTTTCTTTGCTGTTCAATGTTTGCGGTCATGCAACGTAAGTGTGTTTGTGAATGTTTGGTTTGGTGTGCTGCGAAACATGATTGATTTGGCCCACGTCCCGTTTTGCAACAACATGAGTTTTTTTAGCCTGCAGCCTCAAGAGTACATATATATATATATAAAGAGACCTGTGTGCACATGCGTGGAATTGGGATAGCAACCTCCCCGGAACCAAAACTGGAAAACTAAACCTTGAAAGCGAAAACCAAAAACCAAAAAAACAAAAAGACTGCAAATTCCGCGCAACTGTTACCAAACTGCATAGAAAACCATGTTTGGACTTGGGAACCGATCTGGTGGAACCAAAAAAATCAAGTTTTGCAAAAACCAAGTCCCCTGAACCCGAGTTGCGCATGGGTCGCGCTGGAAAACTAAAGCAAACCGGAACCCAAGTTGGAACCTGGAACGAAAGGCTCAAGAGATTTGAAAAATATGGTTTTTCCTCGGGGCAATGTCCGCAATGTTCATGTGCTGCTGCACGCCTTGACATGCTGCTGCTCAGCCTGACATGTCTGAGCAAGCTGGGTATATATATGGCTGGACCTTTCTGTGTGACATTGGCATGAGACTGCACTTTCTGGCACTTTCTGAGCGCAAACATGCTCGGGAATGAACCAAGAAAATGTGAACCAATTTTTTTTGGTTCCAGGACAAGAACCGAAAAAAGGTACTACGAACTCATGTCCAGGTAGTCTCCAAGTGTTCAGTGTCAAGAACTAAATCCAAGCAGCCGTGGACGATATTGTCTAACGTACCGACTGATTCAAGGAATGGTAAAGCTTTTT